GCGTCACCACCATCGAAGCGGGCCAGCTTACCCGCACCAATCCCACACCCAGCAAGTCTTACGCATCAACAGCTGCCAGACAGAAGACCACCCCCCAGCCACCTTCCAAGACCGAGATGACTGCTGCCCGGCCGGGCATGACCATCATCCACGCTCGATCAGGTACCACTCCTTTGAAGGAAGTCGACGCGGAGATTGTAGTTCGCAAGACAAACGAGGTCTTGGAAAAATTGAACGCGTCGGTGCAGGGCGAGAAGGTGACAGTAAAGGCTGTCCGCTTCCTCCCATCAGGTGACGTTTCTTTCTATTCGAAGAATCGCCAACACAAGGACTGGCTGAACAAGAACAAACACGAGTGGAGCAAACAGATCCATCCAGATCTGGAATCAACTCCCAGTACCTACTCCATCCTTGCGCATGGGATACCCCGTACCTTCAACGTCGATAGCGCCACCGGTAAAATTCAGATTGCAGCAAACAACCAATTCATGGCTGAAAAGATCTTCAGGATGCGCTGGCTCGGAGGGTCTCGGGATCCCAACGACCCGCGTCAAGCCGGTACAGTAGTGATAGCTTTCACTGATCCAAGTCTTGCTGACAGTTTAGTCCGCCAGAGAGGCCTCTTTCTTAATTCCAGCTTTCACAGGGTCGAGCGATTCAAAAAACTGCCACCACAATGCTTCAAATGCTTGCAGATGGGGCATTTTGGCAAGTGGTGCCGAGGGGACCCAAAGTGCGGCAAATGTGGCAACAAGCATGAGACGCGAGAATGCCAGGAGACTACGACAGCTACGGGGAAGGTTTGCATCATTTGTAAGGAAGGTGGTAAGGACAAGGAATGCTGGGAATCGCATACGCCGTTTGATAAGGCTTGCGGAGCAAAGAGGGCATGGCTCATTTCTAAAAATCACATCCGTCATGATTAATACACCCCTCGTACTAACACCTAATGTTTCTAGTGTTCATGTTGTAGATAGTCCTTTTTCTGTTCCTAGCAATGAAGACTTTGTGCCCTCCTTTATTGTGCAGTTGAACTGTCACAATAGTCGAGCGACGACCTATAGTATTCTCAATTCGGAGCCGGTCTCCACTCTCATCTTACTCCTTCAGGAACCATGGATTAACCCGCTGACTTGTTTACCACCAGACCACGAAGGCTGGTGGACTTTTTACAGCTTTGATCACTTGCCTAAGAATCTCCAGGACAAGCACCGGGTGGTGTCGTATGTTCGGAAGGCAGTGGCTTCCCGGGACATTAGAGTCCTGGCAGGTAACAGTAAATTCCTTCTGGCTATTGAACTGACTTTCCAACATGGGCTTCGTATGCGGGCCATCAATCTTTATAATCAACCAGGTACTACCAGCGGAATCGACCAACTTGGCGAATGGCTGGACCAACGCAACGACCGAAGTATTGCAACGATGATAGGAATGGATGCAAACCTGCATCACCATTCGTGGAACCCCCCTGGGTACAGTCACGTGCATAAAACAGCTAAGTTGCTTGTGGCTCTGTGTGGCAGAAGTGGCTTTCGGCTGGTATCTGAAAAAGACTGTCCTACCTTCATATCTAGCAGGGGTTCCAGGACCACAATTGACTTGACTTGGGCCAACTTTGCAGCCTACCGGCTGATTAGCCGGACATCAACCTCGTCGGACAATCATGGCTCAGACCACCAGAAGCTTATCACTGCCATCAGGCAAGCTCCCCCCAAGCCCGTTTTTTGTGTAGTGCCCCCCCGACCAGGCGATATTGATCCAGAGAAATTGAGAAACAACGTCTACCAGAACCTTAGCAAGCTGAGTCACTCGGACCCATCCGTCTCCCTGGACTGCCTGGAAAATCATCTGACATCCAGCATTTTTACAGCGTGGAAGGTGCAGGGAAAACGAGTAAGAGTCGACCACGGGAAGGTCAAGAAGTGGTGGGATAAAACTATCCTTGACCCCCTCGTTAAGAACAGGAATAAAAGCCGGAGGCTCTTTATCATGGCCCCTTCTCAAGAGAATGCTGATCGATATCATTTTTGGAACAACAAATTCAGGGAGAAGGTCTCCGTCCTCAAGCAGCAGCACTGGCGATCTTTCCTTGCCAGCACGGACACTACCTCAGTTTTCCAGGCCTTTCAATTCACCAAACCCCGGAGTGGGGGGGGCATACTACCACTCAAAGATGGCACCGGGGCCGTCACCTCTGACAAAGAAGAACAGGCTAAACTTTTGTTTGAAGGCACCTCTGTAGTGAACAGCGCATGCAACCTAGAGGACATCCCGCCTCCAGCCGCCTCTACCTTTGTCTTATATCCCCCGATCACACCGGAAGAGGTCAACGGCACCTTGTCTCGCCTGGCAAAAAGGAAGGCCACTGGGCCGGATCGGATCCCAAACGAGGTACTGTCCTTGTGTGCAAGCGAGGTCACTAACACTCTAGTGGAATTGTTTAACAGATGTATCCGGGCCGACTACTACCCTAAAGCTTGGCGGACTGCGACAACAGCAATAATCCGGAAATTCAACAAACCAGACTACACGTCGCCAGGGGCCTACCGTCCCATTGCACTGCTAAGTACCCTTAGCAAAGTCTTTGAAACAATCATTGCTAACCGCCTCACATTCTGGGCTGAAGCAAACCAGATCCTGCCAGAGGGCCACACCGGAGGCCGACGGGGAAAGAGCGGGGAGGACGCTATGGTTGCGTTGACAATGTGGATTCGGAAAAAGTGGAGAGAAGGCAAAGTGGTCCATGCACTCTTCCTTGACGTCAAATCGGCGTACCCCTCTGTCTACCCCAGCAGGTTGGTGCATTCTCTCCGGCAAAAGGGATGCCCTACATACCTGTGGAAGATAATCGCCCGCTTCCTGGAAGATAGGACGACTAGGCTGCGGCTGGCAGACTTCCTATCAGCTGAGTTCAAGTTGGATAAAGGCCTCCCTCAGGGATCCCCGTTATCTGTTATCTTGTACATATTATACAACTCTGATCTACTGATAAAAAACTTTGATTTTGGGGGAGATGAAGTTTCACTTGGCTTTATAGACGATGTGGTTCATCTGACAGCGGACAAGTCCATGACAGGAGCCAGTGCTAAATTACAAGCCCTTGGTGAACGGTCGTTAGCATGGGGGAAATCCCATGGAGCAATCTTTGACAGCCGCAAGGCGCAATATGTGGTATTCACTCATGCCAAATCAGCTAAGCCTTCCTTCTTCTTTGACGGACAGACACTAGAACCTCTTTGCAATGTCAAGTGGCTAGGGGTGTGGTTTGACAACAAACTTCTCTTTACTAAACAGCACACACAGGTACGGAGGAAGGCGGACAACACAATGAGTCAACTTCTCAAGATTGGCGGATCAACGTGGGGTTTACGGGAACAGGAACGGGGTTTGCTGGTTTCCACTGTGCTGATACCACGAGTCCTATATGGAGTCCAGGTGTGGTTCACACGAAATAACAAGGGCAAGGTTTCAGAAATGCTGGAACTCATCGAAAACTCAGCGGCCCGCTTTGCTTTGGGAGCACTGAAGTCAACTCCCAAGACTTATCTACAGAGGTTCCGACCTTTCAGGGGTCTATACCAAACAGCCGTCAATCGTATAACTAACTATTATCTCTCGAAGCTAACTAGGTGCACCCATAGGCCCACATCCATTGAAGAACAAATTCGACTTGAACTCTCCTCCCACGCCCGACCATTCCCCAGCCCAGTACACACCAACGTTGGAGCTGAAGCCCTGGCCAGATTGGCTTGTGAAGATTTGGAAAACATCAATTACATCCTCAGGGATCATCCCCCTTGGAAATCATGTAGACCGATAACTACCGTTATTGACAGGCAGTCAAAAACAGAGGCCAAAGAAACTGTCTCCCGCTACCTAGATTCAATTGATCACACTGACACTTTACTGGTTTTCACAGATGGCTCCGCTCACCCCAAGGAGGGGCTAGGCGCAGCAGCAGTCACCGCGGACGGTCTCTCGGCGCAAATGGCCTTCTTAGGCCCTCCCGAAATTGCCTCAAATTTTGAATGCGAGTTGGTAGGGATAAGGCTGGGACTGGAAATGGGCCGTATTCTAGCTTCTAAATTCGGTTTCAGGCACATTGTTTTACTCTCGGACAGTCAAGCGGCAATAGAAAGGATGCAGAGGCCTGAGCTCCCCAAACCAGGACAATATCTTCTCTCCCAAATACAGGAAACAGCTGAGTTGATCCCTCCTTCTGTTTCCATTACAGTGAGGTGGTGCCCCGGGCATGTCGGTATTGCCGGGAACGAGCTAGCCGACGTCAAAGCAGGGGAAGCTCGTAGCCCCACTTTCCGTGACAAATCAATCCAAATCAGTGCTTCCCAAGAAAAATCCAGACTCTTGTCAAAACAAAAACTGTGGAAAAAATCACCAAGGGCACCTTTCCCAGTGCAATCCGCTTTCCATCAATTGAGATCAGGTCATGTGCACCTGAATGCTTTCCTCTTTAAATGCAGGCTGGCCCCTTTCCCCATATGTGGGACGTGCAGCGTGCCAGAAACAGTTGATCATTTCCTTGTTCTGTGTCGCAGGCACGCTCGGGCGAGGACCAAAGCCAGGGCGGTACTCCAGGATGAGCAGATCTCCACAATCACCACAAGAACCCTTCTCAATAACCCTCAGGCGTACGAAGCCACGGAAATTTTCCTCAGATCATCCGCCAGGCTCCCCCAATTCAGGGAAGCCTCCGATCCCACCAACACCAGTTGATTCCAATACCAGTCACCCCGCCTCTGTCCCTTTTTCTCCTCAACATTTGTAGTCTCTTCCTTTTCTTCCTTCCTTTTTGTTTTGCCTTTTCCTCTTCTTCCTTCTCCTGCTCCTTCCTTTCTCTACCATCTCTCCTTCTTTTCTAGTATCACCTCAGGATATTAGCTATACTCTTCTTCTACCATAAATGTTTTGTTACGGGCTTAGTCCTGCATCTACATTGTCTCAAGTTGCATATGCATAGTGCGCAATGTCATATCAAATCTGCACTTAAAAAAAAAAAAAAAAAAAAAAAAAAAAAAGAAGTCCTAGATATGGTCGAAGTCAAAATCGAAGGCGTAGTCTCCTTGGCTGATATCAAAGGATCTTAAGACATCTCCCGGCCTCATCCCACTGTTTTACCTTGTGGGATTCAAACGAGAGAGATACAAACGATTCAAATCAATATCACTAGACTTCTTCAGGGGACAAGAGATCCATTCTATCGGCCTTGTCCACGGTCTACAGTATGTCATTTCCGTCAGCGTCGGCGAGATAGACCAACCGGGAACTACTGCCTCACTTCTCAACCTCGACCCATCCGCACTTCCAACTCCCTCTGAAAATTCCAATCAAACGGACAAGCCCAAAGCCCCGAAGCCAGTTTCACTCGTAGACTCATCATCACAAACCAATCTACTTGAAAATGTTGAAGGGCTCCCTCTAGTTCACTTCAGAACGTACCTCGTCCAGCTTCTCAAATCCGGACAGCGTGAGCCTCGAGTCGAGCTCCTACCGCATGGCCCTTCGTTCGACTTCAGACTTCGAAGAGCCCAAGCACCATCGGAAGACCTACTCAAACTAGCTTCAGTTGCCCACTGCCATTTTTTATTCTTCTTCTTATGTCACCCTCTCATTAGCACTCCCCCCCCCCCCCTCGGAGGAATTCCTTCAATCCTCCTTGGGACCACAATTCAAAAAATGATTCAAGATATCTAGGGAAGTAAGGACTACAGTGGTCACCAATCAAAAAAAAAAAAAAAAGATTCAGGAACTGTAACACTAGAATTGTAGCTCACATGATCACAACACGAGTTTTTACTCCTCTGCTGAATGAGATTGTATTTCCGCAAGCTGCATTCCTCCTTGTTGCTTGCGATTGCAGATTTTCTCATTGAGGGTTTTAACAATTAAAGAGCATTCAAAACCCACAAAGAGGGAACAGATTTTGCCAAGTTGGCCCATGCACCTATGACTTAACACATTTGAGTATTCTTTGACTTTGGCATTGCCCCTGGTGTCAAGCATCCGTTCCAAGACAAACTATTTGAAAGAGAGGATTGAAAGTAATGCTGATTTTTGGATTTTAAGGTGCTTAAGAGAAAAGGATACTCTTGATCACGGATGGATCTAATGAGGTGCACATAATCTGAGATAATTCCGAAAAAGAAAAGAAAAAGAAAACCTCATCGGTCGTTGAAGAAGCAAAACAGATGATTCTCATCGATCTGGGGAACTTATAAGGTTGGTGATCACTTTTCCGACTCCTAATTTGATATCAACAAAATTCTTTAATTTGTCTCTCAATGTAAGCTTCTTGGTCAGCTGAGTTCATGTTTTGAAGCGTAGTGAGGAGCTTTTGTTTTTGTTGTCGGCCCTCTTCTCGACCCTCTTCTCGACCCTCTTCTCGACCCTCTTCTCGACCCTCTTCTCGACCCTTGTCCTTGGCTTTCTCAATGGCTAACAACCTAGTGTTTTCGTAAACCTGCAATTGTGTCAACTCGTCCTGGTAGGCATCGCGGTCCGTGTCCGAAAGCGCCGCCAGACGGATCGTTTCAATGAAATGTTTAAGATCTTCACTCTCTGCCACCCAGTCTGGAATTGTATGACCTTCTAAGCCGAGATGACGGAGGAGCCAGACCATCTGTTCCAACGGTGTTTTGCAAGCATCCGCAGGGATCCCAAAGTTTGGAAGGGAGACAATGCAGTAATGTTGGATGTGGTCAAATGGTAAAAAAGCCGGTAGAGTTGCGTCCGGATATACGCGACATTTGCTTCCCTGAAAGAAAGTGGCCGCCCAGCACAACCACGCTGGCCGTAGTTCGGGTGGGACTCCTGGAAGGCACTTCAAGGAGAAGTCACAAATGGCAACCACATAGACTGGTTGCAGTTGATTGTTCCACTTTTTTGAAGTACGCTCCTGTCGACTCTTCTTTAATTTGAGGCTGAGATCTTTTTCAACATTTTGTTCAAACAAGTTGGGCGGAATTTGACTGCCTGACCAACCTCGCTTCTCCGTAATAAGCCTTGCGGAGTAGTAGACCATTTGATTGAGAGAGTATCTCTCTGTAACCATTTGCATCTCCACATTCACAATCGTATCTTTGTCTGTGACACAGACAATGTCATACCGTATCAATCGCATTCCTGAATAAAGACCCACAGATTCTGTCGGGTCATAAACCACGTGCTGAGAGGCAGAGACAGTGGACCGCCGAGTAGTACTTTTGCTGGATGTGGAACGCGACAAGCTAGCCGGTGTGACAGGCTCGGACTGAACACGCTTGATGGTCGTTACTTGGCGCAGCTCGACCTCCGGTAAAATTGACTTGAGGAAGAAGATAAGAGTTTTTCTGATAGTTTTTTAAATGGATTCAAAAGAACTTATATGAGTATCTTCAAACTCTTTTTTTATTCAAACTAAAAATTCTTTTCAGCTTACACATCACCAAACAGTCGTTTAAATGCTGAGTCTGTAATAACAGACATATACTTGCCTGTGTCCATTTCTCGGGGTTCTGACATTGGTGTAGGGTTTCTGGTATTGGTTCAAGGTCGTAAGGGTCACTGGTGGGAGGTGCCTGGGCCCTTCCCGAGCGTTCCAAGGGGTCCTGGGGCCTTCTGCGGCGCTCCGGGGCTGCTGGGGGTCAGGCTGGGTCGTCCGACGATGATCCGGTCGATTTGGGTCGTCTGACGGCAATCTGAGGCGGTTGGAGGGGTGTGGGAGGGGTTGGGGTTGTATCCGATTGTTCCGAGTGAGATCCGATGGTTCTAGGCTAGTTCCGAGTGGCCGGCGACGATCCAAGCGTAAAAACCGGCAATCAGGCAAAAATCCAACGTCCTGGGGTCCAAGAGGGGCTCTTGGAGGTCCTGAAATCACCGCAAGGGGTAGAGAGAGGTGGAGGGGTGAGTTGTAAGGTTTGAGAGGAGTGATGAACAGGGTTGAAGTTGTGGATTTTCAAGGTTGTAGAGTAGGGTTGGCGGCGCCACCTTTGAGCTGAGGGCGCCGAGGCGCGCCTTTTCCAAGTCCTCCTGGGCGCGCCTACTAGTGGGGGCGCGGGGGCTTTTCGGGCAGTATGAGACTTATTGGTGGTTTTGATTTTTTTTCTATGCGTTGGAATACAGCTATTTCGGAAAGGGTTGTCCAGTCGTCTCACGATTTTTTTTTTTGATTTTTTTGATTTTTTTTAGGGCCTTAATAAAAAACCCCGCATTTTCCGCGTTTTGACGCGCTTTTGCTGCGGCACAGCACACGCGCATTCTGCTTTTAAACCCGCATTTTTAATTAATTTTTTTTTGCCATTAATTTCGAGTTTTTTTGATTTTTTGAAATTTTTTCCTACACTTTGAAGGGTGTAGAATTTAATGGTAAAGTCCATTTACCATAAAAATGACTTTGATTTTTTTTTTCTGCTTACTCATTTTTTCAATTAATTGTTTGCATGCATGCATGTACCTTATTATTTATGCTTTTTTGAAATTTTAAAATTATTTCCTAGGTTTCAATGTGTGCAGAATTTAATGGTGCAATCCAATTTTTTTAAAACTCAACGGTTCATTTTTAATACTGAAATTAGACCCATTTTTTCACTTAATTTTTTACAGCTTAATTCTCATCATTTTTTGACATTTTAAATTTATTTCCCACACTTTAAGACATGTAGAAAATGATGGTAAAAACCATTTTTCCCCAAAATGAAAACTATACCTTGAATGCCGCATTTGACACGTTTTTTTTAATTAATTCATCACTTTTTCACTTAATTGTTTGCATACATGTGTGTACCTTATTTTCTATGCTTTTTTGAAATTTTAAAGTTTTTTCATACATTTAAAAGTGTGTAGAATTTAATGGTAACATCCAATTTTCTTAAAACTCAACAGTTCATTTTTAATACTGAAACTAGACACTTTTTTCAATTAATTCTTTACATGTTATTTCTCACTATTTTTTGACATTTTAAGTTTATTTCCCACACTTTAATACATGATAGAAATGATGGTAACAACCATTTTACATAAAAATCAGCGCTTGTTACTGAATACTGCAGTGGACAGGCTTTTTTTAATGTTTTTTTGATTGATTTTTACCGGCCTGATTTTAAGCATTTTTTTTTATTTTAAATTTATTTCCTACATTTACAAATGTTTAGAATTGAATGGTGAAGTCCAATTTCACTCAAAATACAAGCTTCAATCTTAATAGATGAGCGTACCCTGTTTCTTGCATAATTTGTACCATATACAAATTTTATTTGAATGCAAAATGGATACCGCCATCAATTTTGAAACCTTGAAAAGTGTAGGAAATGAGCTTGAAATTCCAAAAAATAAGGATAATTGAGCGTGTAAGAATTAATTCAGGAAACACGTCAAAGGCATTATTCAAGATATAGTTTTCATTTTGATGAAAATTCATTGTTACCATAATTTTATACATGTTTGAAAGTTTAGGAAACAAATTTAAAATGTCAAAAAATAATGAAAATTAAGCTCTTAAAAATCAATTGAAAAATATGACTAATTACAGTATCCAGAATGAACCATTGAGTTTTATGGGAATTGAATTTTACCATTAAATTTTACACACTTTTAAATGTAGGGAACAACTTTAAAATTTCAAAAAAGCATAGAAAATAAGGTACACACATGTATGCAAACAATTAAGTGAAAAAGTGATGAATTAATTAAAAAAAACGTGTCAAATGCGGCATTCAAGGTATAGTTTTCATTTTGGGGAAAAATGGTTGTTACCATCATTTTCTACATGTCTTAAAGTGTGGGAAATAAATTTAAAATGTCAAAAAATGATGAGAATTAAGCTGTAAAAAATTAAGTGAAAAAATGGGTCTAATTTCAGTATTAAAAATGAACCGTTGAGTTTTAAAAAAATTGAATTGCACCATTAAATTCTGCACACATTGAAACCTAGGAAATAATTTTAAAATTTCAAAAAAGCATAAATAATAAGGTACATGCATGCATGCAAACAATTAATTGAAAAAATGAGTAAGCAGAAAAAAAAAAATAAAAGTCATTTTTATGGTAAATGGACTTTACCATTAAATTCTACACCCTTCAAAGTGTAGGAAAAAATTTTAAAAAATCAAAAAAACTCGAAATTAATGGCAAAAACAAATTAATTAAAAATGCGGGTTTAAAAGCGGAATGCGCGTGTGCTGTGCCGCAGCAAAAGCGCGTCAAAACGCGGAAAATGCGGGTTTTTTTATTAAGGCCCTTTTTTTAAATTTTTCTTTGTACTGAACTACATAAACGTACCCCCCTTTTCTGCTATCCACACCCGGTTTTTCACACCTGGTTTTCTGCTTCTACACCTGGTTTTCCCCAGCCTTTTTAATTCATTTTTTGGCAATTCTGAATATGCTAAAAATCTTCTAAAATTGATCATTCTTTTTGGGTATATAAAAATTCCTCAAAAGAGAACTAGTAATATTTTTTTATTTTTCTCACCCATTTTTTCCTAATTTTTTTTTGACCCTATGAACTCTTGAAAACTTGAGTTAAAGCCTAAACTTATTATTAATTGTCAAGTTTTTTAATTTTTCTTCTCCATACAGATGGTCCCATTCAAGATATTCCTTATTTTGTCCATTTGCTTATAGCTCAAAACCAACAACATTGGGATTTCCAAAATGAAATCAAATTTGGTCCTTTATAGATTTCCCAAAGATTGAGCAATATCAATGATAAATTTAAATGTACTTTGAATTCTCAAAAATGCATAGGCAGAAAAAAAAACTTGATGAATCAGATAAATTAAAATTAAAATTAAAATTAAAATTTCTTTTTTGAGAATTTTCTATATACTCAAAAAGAATGATCAATTTTAAAAAATTTTTAGCATATTCAGAATTGCCAAAAAATGAATTAAAAAGGGGTCGCTGTAATTTTACAAACTATTTTTTACAAGACATATGTCTTGTAAACCGGATAGTTTGTAAAATTACATTTTTATGGGGGTAATGTATAATTTTACAAACCATCATCCAAAAATATGGGTTGCAAAAAAAAGGGTTGCAAAATATGTGCCTTAAAATTGCAACCCATGCCCCATGGTGTAGAATTTTAAGGCACATATGTTGCAACCCTTATGTCTTGCAAACAATATGATTTGCAAAAGTACATTTTTGCCTTATTTCAAGGAATTTTGCAACCATTAGTTTGCAACCCATCTATGAGTTGTAAATTATGTTTTGCAAAACTGCACAACAAGGTATGTAAAATTGAATTTTACAAACCATATTTTGCAACCCTTTCAAGCAATTTTGCAACCATCAGTTTGCAGCCCATCTATGAGTTGTAAATTATGTTTTGCAAAATTGCACAACATGGTATATAAAATTGAATTTTACAAACCATATTTTGCAACCCTCCAAAAAAAAAAAAAAAAAAAAAAGAGGCAGACACTATGGAATAGGGAGGTACTGAACCGCCACTTTGACAAAAAAAAAGAAAAAAAGAAAAAAAGAAAAAAAGAAAAAAAGAAAAAAAGAAAAAAAGAAAAAAAGAAAAAAAAAATCAGTCATTGCTGGGGGTGTTTAATCCCATCAATGACCGGTCAAAACCGGTCATTGATGGGGGTGCTTGGGGGTGTTTACTTCCATCAAGGACTGGTCAAAACCGGTCATTGATGGGGATGTTCGGGGTGTTTACTCCAATCAAGGACCAGTCATAACTGGTCCTTGATGGGAGTGTGTCCTCCAATTGACAAACAGTGTCATAAATGGTCATCAATGGCATTGGGAGGAATGTATGGCCAAATTGGCTGATGAATTTTTTTTTTTTCATTTTTTG